ATTAGCTGACTCATGGTTTTCAAATACTTTTAGGAGCTGACTTGAGAGTCAGAAGTCCTGTGTCCCTCACTTCTAACCTTGCTGGTAGCCAGCAGTGTGATCTTGGAACTCCATTCCCTAATATGTTAAATAGGGAATTGGGAAATGTAATTTATGGCTTCCTTCCATTGCTAAAAATTATTTCATTCTAGAAATTTAGAATAGAAGTTGAAAAAGTACGTAAAAATAGAGCACTTTAACAGACACTCAAAGCGAACAAAACAAAGGAATGCACATAGCAAGGGAATCTGATTAATTTTGTACAAACCAGCATAACACTGATTTAAAAAAAAAATTCAAACAAAAATTTTCTGACATTTACCTTCTCCTAGGAGTGTGGATTGGTACAACATTCCTGGACAGCAATTTGCTAATATATACGAAGAGCCACAAAGATGCCCACTAACTTCTGTGACTCAGTAATTCCACTACTAAGAATTTATTCTAAAAAAACAATAGAGATAAAAATTGATGGGCAAAGATGCATCTCCACATTATTTGTAAGAGGGGAAACTAGAAAAGCAAAGCTATGTATCTTACAAGAACTGTTTAGAGAATAGTTAATTCATATGGTGAGAAATATACGTGGTTCTTTGTTGTCATGATATATAATGTCAGCATCTTTGCACATTGATGCCAGGAAATGGCAGATGTGTATATCTTCATTTAACAAATATTTATGTTTCTACTATGGGGCAGACATGATTCTAGGCTCTGGGGACAAGGTAGTAAATAAAAGGGGCTCATTCATCACCTGGTCTCCTGGAGCTTATGGTCTAGTGGGATAAGACAATAAACAAACAAACAGGTAAATATGTAGCATATCAGATGATGAAAAGTGCTATCTATGGAGAAAAATGAATCTGGGCAAGGTGATGGGAGTCTGGTATAGAAGATGTGATTTTATAAGGGACAGTTTGTTGGGGGTAGGGTGCTGGGTTCACTGATCAGAGATTTTTCAGCAGAGCCCTGAGTCAGGGACATAGGGCGCATGTAGATACCCAGGAAGAGTATTCTTGGCAGAGGGAATGGCAATTTCAAAGGCTGTGAAGTAGAAGCACATATCGTGTTTTCCTGGAACACCCCAGAGTCAGCAAGGGGGAGAGTGTCAGGAGATGAATCCAGAAAGATGGGCTGAGAGCCGGCCATGTGGGCCTCAGGGAGCCTATAAGGACTTTGAACTTAATTAAGCAAGCAGTTAAGTCATCGATATTTATTGAGCCCTCATCCTGTAACCTAATTTTGAACGATCAATAAATTCCCTGCTAAAACATACTTCCAGAATATTCATTATTGTTTGGCTAGGAAGGTTTTTTTAATTTATTTTTTAATGCCTAGTTAAACTTATGAAAGAGGAAAAAAAAAAACCTAATGGAATGAAACAATGAACTGTAAGGGTAAATATTATTACTTTGAATCAAGCAATTTATTTTGTATTCTTGATAAGGAGTAAAGGTGGAGAGAGAGGTAAGAAGGCCTGTTATTCCTGGCCTCTGCCTCTGATTTGGTGTCCACGTTTAGGTGTCTCTTTTATGGAAGGTTGTGAGAAGGGCCATCTGCTAGAATCGTGAGAGATTTTCTCACACCCCATCCCACACTCCACCCTTTGGCCATCAGTGTTCCAAATCCAGGGATAGTCTAACCTATAAAAGCAGGGCCTGGGAGAGCCATTTCTGGAGTAGCTACCCTTGGGAGATCTGAGATCTAGAATTGGTTTAGAGGTGGAAAACCGGAAGCTCATGACCAAGAGAACCATGTGATTTAGTGCTCACAGAGGTCCTGAGTTCTGCTCTTCTGTGTAGAACCTACTCTGCTTCCCAGCTGGTGGTCAAACTTCCTTCTCAGTCATGCTTTGCATGCAGATGTGGGTGACTTTGGTGACAAAGGGAGAGCACAGGAAGTGTGTGGCCAGCATGTGACCATTCCCAGCATGTGAACAAAGACAATTCCGAGTACACACTACTTAGTGAGGTGAAACTGTAATTAAAAATGTCAGGCTTTACCACCCAGAGAATAAGAGATTTCCAAACTCTTTAATTTCACCTTCTTAGGAGGCCATTTTGGGATTTGGATGTGTAGGATGACGTACAGTTTTTCTTAAGATCCCTAAACCCAGATTCCATTGATATTATTCTGTATTGACTAAGACAATGTTGTTGGTGAAACCTCTGATGAAGAGGAACCTCTGATGAGGGCACCAAGTAATACCAAGTGAGAAGGATGGTTCTTCCCTATTTCCACATTGTCACTCTTTCCTGGTGCTGGTGTCTCCTGCTTGTGCCAAGAACACTGGCCAGATTGAGAGATCTACTCATTCCCTTGCTGAGTGAGGACACTTTTCATTGTAGCATTCTGCCCTACTGGCCACCACATGTGTGTGCATATTGCATAGGAATACCGTGTGACATTTATCGTCAACCAGTAATTCTAAAAAGGCCAGTATCAGATTCAATATCCAAAGATATTGGGAGATGCCAAGACTTTCTTGAAGACAATCATTTTCACACAGGTTGCCTCAGCATTGCAACAAGTACTGGAGTTTAAATACAACCACACAAGAATGAAGGAGGGAAACCAGGAGATACATGGCCATCCTTGAGACCATGGGCGTGCCAGCAGCTTAGATTCATTTTATCCCATATGGGTAATAGCTAATTGCAGCCCCCTGAGACCTGGCAGTAATTAATTAATCTGTGTAAGTGTGTCCATTAAAGCCTACTATCTGCTTCTAATGGGACTGGTGAAGATATTTAAAAGTAAATATATTCTCCAGGGTAAAATACTCTGTGGGTTGGAAAAATTCCTGAGAACCGCTGACTTAAGCTTTTCATGAATTCCTTGACAAATTCATTTTCAAAATCCTTGACTCTTGCCATCAAAATTTGGCTGATGTTCTACATACTGACTTGGATCTTTCCCCAATTCTAGGGAACTTTCCTTGGACCTGATCTCTATAGTAATTTTGTCTACGCCGCTCGTATTACATTTTATCTTGAGTGGCATGGTAATATCAACTCTACTGCAAATTTAAGCTCTCCTCACTCTTGCAGCAGGGGTGTGTGTGTGTGCTTGCCCTGCTTCCCTAAACATGCAACATCTTTTCTATGGTGATAATGGACTTTCACTTTTTTATTCCCTTCGTTGTTCACCCTCCGCCCCCAACCCCCCACCCTGCCCCTCCTCCATCTTGCTTCTTCTTCCCTTTCCCATTCATTTATCCATAAATATTTGAATGCCTACCATGTATCAGTCAGGGACATGATAAGGAACTGGGGAAATTGGGGTAAGAATAGGGTTTAAAGGACAAATTCAATTGTAACAAAAGAACTCTGGATATACATGTGGTGTCACTGATTTTCAGTACATTCTATAGCAACATACCTAAGTTATTCTATAATTTTAATTTAATATTTGTTACTAGTAAAGTCTTTTTCTTTATCCACAATTATTCCATAGATGTTAGAGATAAAGTCAAATTCTAATTTTTACATATGTAAAAGATAAATGAGCATCAAAGTTCAAAGTGAATTGATAAATTTTGTGATATATCAATGTGATAAACACACATTGATATGCAAATAAAATGTGGGAGTGGGGAATGAGGAGCATATCGTTTTGGCACTACCAGTGGGTGGCTTCTAAGAAAAAGGCATCATTTGTCTTACTGGGGCAGCCCAGAGATTTTCTGAGCATAGGCTAAGATCCCATTGTGTGGAAGAAACACAGAGGCAAAAGATAACAAAAATAATTTTTATTCAAATTTTCATTGAGAAAAATACAGAAAACCAGTAAAAATAAGCATTGGTCAATAGTCAATATTAAAACAACTCAAGCAAAAATAAATATACAGAAAACAGTAAAAATGAATATAGGTCAATAGGCAACATTAAACAGTTCAGTTAAACAAAATTAAACTTTCGATCCAACCTAAGCAATCAAGCCCACATATGGAAAAAAGTTGCAATTAGACGTTCTTGAAGAAGTCTCTTTCTCAAAGACGCGGCTTAGCTCCAAAAGTGCTGTTTTAGGTTAATATCTGAAGGAAGGGGCAGAGGAGGCAGAGAGAAGGAAATGGGAGAGAAAATAGAGGGGAAGGAAGGGAAACTAATATTTCATGAGCTTTAAAAAAAATATGTGATGTCTAATACTTTGTTAGGCATTGTATGCATTACTTCATTTAATCCTCACGACAGCCCTGCAAGGTAAGTATTATCTTTCTCCATTTTAAAGATAAAGAAAGAGACTCATAGAGTTTAAATCACCTGTCCCAGGTCACACAGTTGAAGTGGCAGAGAGACTAGAACCCAACTCCACTCCTAAGTCCTCCTTCTTTCCACTAACATGGGATGTTTCTCCACCACACCACACCCTTAAGTGGAAAACAACTCTTAGTGGATTTATGGATTTTAAGAGGTATTGATCCAGCCCCCTCAATGTATACCTTTTTTGGAGCTTGGGAGTAGAGAAATCTGGACCATATTTCCAAGAGGGCAAGTCTGATTTGTCTATTTCTTCTTTGTTTCAAAAGAAAGACCTCAACAGTTGGCGAGAGAAGGCATGGAAGGATTGAACATTGCCTGCCAGACTGGTGGGCTATTAATAGTCCCCCTAGAGCATGTTCGTTAATAGAAAACCGAGGAAAATGTATGATAAACAGACACGTGAAAACCCAAATGTGCATGTTAATCAATGATTACGAAGATGAATCAACTCTTGTAACCTAGATTCCTTAGCTGTCAAAACCTAAAGGATAAAGAAGAAACTCAATGGAACACCAAGCACGTAGCAGAGCTATCCACCAAGTCATGTCTCCATCACGTTCACAGCTGCACAGGCTACTGTTCTCTATACTGATGGCCCCTTCTTAGTTGATGATTTTTCACAATGTATTTCATGGCTTCCATCCCTACATGAGACTTTATTACTATCACATAGGAATAAAAAGCCATAAAGCACTAGAGTGAATTTATCTTGGTCGGATGCAAAACTTATTTTCTTCACATGACTTCACAACCATTTCAAAGCTAACCAATCATTTCATGCTACATTAAGGAACATTTTAAACTACACACAAGTGACAGGAAGCACACTTAAATTTGTGACATCACAAATTCACAAGATTTTTATCCTTCAACGACATTCTGAGCTACAAGGACCAGGAAACAAGACCAGGAGACACTCAGCAACATTCAACCATCGAATTCACCAAACAAAAGACACTGGGGAGAATTCCAGGAGAAAAGCTCATCACTTTGACATTGAACTTGGAAACACATAAGGCAAGACAGAAGACAGACGAATCATTGATACAAACTGAAACCAGGGAATTATTTCAAGCCTCTTGCTGCAACATCTTCCCCAGAAAGCTTTCTTACATACCCACTGCTGGCTTTTAGACTTTTCATTTAGGGACAGGTGGAAAGCAAAGACCTTAGTACCTGTTTGCATTATGTCACCACTAAGCCTTTTCTACACCCAAGTAACAAAAAGGGAAGAAAAGGGATGGCATGCTAAGGAACCACAAGTGCTAACTGCTCATCTATAGCCTTTCATAGAGGCTGACACCATTCCCCACCCCCATCTACACAAGCAAATATCTTACTATCCAACACTGTGCACTGAAATCTCTCAGTGATCTAAATAACTCAGGTCCAAAGACCAAGATCATTCTTTATGCTACATTAAAGTGACTTTGCTCTTGGTATTATTAACACACTTTTAAGTCCATGCCGAAACCCAATTCTTTGGGACCACTGAAAACTCAATAATATAAGGTCCCATGGTTTTTCTGTCTTTTCATAAATAAACTTGGGGTGCCTATTTACCAACCCCTGAAACAGCATTCCAGACTATTAAGCACTGCCGTCTCCTTTAAAAAAAAATTGTATTATTCAAACTCACATAAAAGAAACAAGAACTTGAATCCCTCATTAGGAGTAAAGTCTAGGCAAGCTATTTCCATAGAGGTCACTACAATGAAATCTTGATTTATGTGAATCACAAGGAAGAGACTGGAAATAGTTAAATGAAAGGAAGTGCATACATAAATTCAATTATCATGCAGGAAACATGCAAATGATTTAAGCACTGCATCTGAAACTCTAGTTTATATTCATTAATCTCAGGTTGCACTTTTGAAGGAGAAAGACATGCTAATTGGGTCCAGATTAATGCACTCTCAAACCTCTCCAATTTGTTTTTAGGTGAGGGTTAAATGATATGTTTTAAAATAAACACAGCTGCTCATCTGCCTCCACCTTCTACCTCCCGACTCCACCTCTGCCTCCTCCCCCAGCTGGCTGAGCTCTGCCCCCCACAAGCCACCCCCCAGTGGCTCACCTCCTCTACCATACCTCACCCCTGCTGGCTCAGCTCTCCACCCTGCCACACCTCTCCTTCCTGTAGGGAAGGGATCAAAGACCCCCAACAATTTCCTTTTGAAGATATACTGGAAGAATAGCACGGTTTCTTAGCCATTTCAATACCTTTCCTTTCCCCATAAGCCACCAAACTCCAGGAAGGGAGTCAGTCACACATCACATCTGATGATGCCTCACTGTGGAGTCAGGATTTGTACAGATGCGAAAGCAGCCCACTGTTTCTTCTGCCAGCAGGTTCTTTCTACAAGTTGGGACCTGGGTCCTTTGAACCAGTACTAATGGGCGGTTTCGAAACGTCCAGGCACATGCTTGCTTAAAGCCAGATTGCTCCAGGTTGGCATGGCGATCCTGTGACTCAGTTATGTGGGAAACAAGAGGATCAGGAGGGAAGTTGGGGGTTTTTGTGGCTGTTTTTCCTCTGTGGCTTACTCAGCCAGCAAAAACTGGCACAAAGCAGAGGGCACTCTAAATTCTTTCCAAAAGGATCCCTTTCTTTCTTTCTCCTTCCTCCCTGGCAAAATTATCTTTTAAAAAAGAGGAATGCTATTTATTCATGTATTTATTTCATTTATGGAGACATTAAATAGCATGTGTTAGGGAGAATCTTATCTTGTGAGTAATGAAGCTTTTGAAATAGTACAATATTCTTTTCTGGGACCTGATCTTTAGAAAAAGGAAACAAAGGAAGTGGAACTATGGGCTACTGGGAATAAATTCAGGCACAGAGCTGGGATGGCAGGGGGTTCTCTCTGAAAGAGCAGCCAACAAGGAGTTAAACTAGGCACCAAAAAAAAAAAAAAAAAAAAAAAAAAAAGAAAAAGAAAAAGAGAGAGAGAGAAAAAAGAATTCAAACTAATTTCACACTGAAAGTGATGTTTAATTTGAATCATGCTCGTCCCAAAGGGAAAAGGTTAGTCTTGTCATTTGACACATATCCCTTCCCCTTCCTCCTTTCATATGAATTGAAAATTCAGATTGACCATTAATCACAATGTGACACGTTCTTTTTTTCCTGTTCCAAAAATCAAATGAAAGCCTTGGACCACGTCTGAGAACCCACTGGTTGGCTAATTCTCCCAACCTACGTTCACAACAGAGAGAAGACGAAAACAAGGGCACATACGTACACGGAGACATGAATTACTGGACGCGCACTCACAGCGATACACACAAACACGGACAGCGAGCGACAGTCACTGGCTCTGAGAGCTTTTGCGCCTAAATTGATTTCTGCATATTCACAAATGTAAAATTAGTCATAGTAAATAACAACAAGGGCAACACTGGTATTAAATCTGTCAACATCCAGACACATGCTCAAAGCACTCTTTAGTTAGGAAATACACTTATGATAGTCGTTGCTGCAAGAAGAGAAAATGATTATACGCTAACCAAACCCTAAGTACAAGCTAAAGATATTCACCTCATGAAGCCATTCCTCAACTAGCCCCTTGGCACTTGCTGGAATTATTCACAGCACGAGCTCTACTTTCTCATTTTCTGCTGACTCCATGTGGGTAATTTCTTTCTCATGATTAAAAGTGAGCTTGGCAGATCCTTCAAAGCGTGGCTTTAGGTGTGGTGGGGCTCCGAGTGCATCCTTTGTCTATGGCAGGTTCCTAATAATTCATTGCTGGACCACTGGATGGGCAGGTCGAGGGAATATTCATGCACCTAAAATGATTTTTTAAAAGGCAAATTTTTATAGATATCTTTATATAAACATATTGGTATACTGAAACATGCAGCTGACAGATGAAATGAACTGTTTACCTTGGAAAGAATAGGCAGGCTTTTCTCTTCCAAATAATCACTCCAGCCTTTCTGAATGTCATCCCAAAGCGACTCTGCCTCCTTCGACTTATCCAGCATCTGAGGTTGTGAGATAACCCTTGCAGCACTGGCCTCCTTCCCTGGCCCCTTCATTATTAGCCTCCTGGTGAGTGAGATAGAATACAGTGAATGTAATAACCCTACTTCACACAACAGGCTCGCTCTCTCTTTTAAATTGAAAATCCCCTTATTACAAAACAAGGGGTGTTCTTTTTCTTCTACCTTTAAGTAGGACTGCCACATTCATTGCTTTTTACAAAAACGCAGCTGCTTTTTAAGCTACAGATAAATAGAATCTGCTAGGCAGTAATTCGACTCAGTCTGAATGCATTATTTTCTAAGACACTTTAGCGAGGGGCTTTTTATTATAAACTGGAATGAACAGGGAAAGTCCTTTTCTCTTCTAATTATGAATATGTTTTTTTCCCCTACTATTAACCTACAATGTCAGATTGATCTTCTTCTTCTTCTTCGTTTTCTGCAGCTAGTTCAATAAATCAACATTTTTTTTTCCTGGAAAATCAGAGGGCTAATGATTAAGTCTTCATAAACTTCAATGATAAAAATAAAAATAGCACAAGGGAAAAACAAATGCAAATGCTAAAACCATAAATAAAGACAATGAAGTGGCCCTCTGATGGCCAAGGTAACAAATCCTATTTCGACACCAAAAGTTAAGATAAAGAGGATTTACTTATTAATTTTAATTAATGTAATTTTAATAAAATTAAGGCTTTCTGGGCAACTTATATTTGTTCACCTACAGAGGAAATGATATGTAAAAAAAAAAAAGGTAAAATTTCTATATAGTGTGCCCAAACCTCTTGTGTTTGTTGTTTACTTATTTAAGGCAATAGTTTGCAGTTTTATCAGTCATCCCTATACTTCTAGAAGCAATGAAATAAAGAATTAAAACGAGATGAAACACTGTGATAAAGCATATTCAATCTGAGCTTCTGCCGACATTTCTTTAACTCTGAAGATTTTTTCACTGAGAAAAATGGTGAATTCCTAATAATATCAAAAGGCAGTACTGAAACTAGGTATTGGTTTAATTTTGATCCCAATGTTGATATTTCTGACTATAATATTGCAATAGACCATGGTGGCTATGCTCTGGGTCTATATGGATATATTGCCTTGCCAAAGGCGGGGTTGGGGGGGAGAGAAATCCCACAGGGTATCAGTGGGGTTCCAATTAAGGAAAAATAAATACTGCTGCAGCCCTGACAGTAAGTGGAGATTACCAGGATATCACAGAAGCACAGGCAGGTGCCCCATTTGGAGCTGATGCTGTCATTCCCCTTCCTTCGGCAATAATGGAAAGCAAAGTGCTGAAGATGAGCTGTGTGTGGCAGATAGTTTCAGAACGATTCATTCTTGTTTGTTTACATTATTTCAAGTTTATCTCCAGTCAGAGTGATAGTGGGAATTAAAGGGGCCCTGTGCAAAACATGAAGTCTTTCATGAACCGTGAACTGAGATCACATGCATATTCAAAATGCCCCAGATGCAAGGTATATATCAGAAAGAGGGAAAGAGAGAGAGAGAGAGAAACAGAGACAGAAAAAGAAACTTTGAAATCATATTTGTATCTAAAACCGTGCTGCCAAACACATTCCATTTGAAATTTTTTAAAAAAGGGGATATTTATCACAAGTGAGACACAGACCAAATTTTCAGAACACCCACTCTAGGAAGGGTGTATGTGCAGTGAGAGGTGGTGATAGAGCTTTTGAGATTCTACTACTCTGCTTAGACTTGAATCCACTGTTTGTCTTCTGACATGCCTGGGAACACATGGCAGCACTGTCAGGCTGCTGGCCTTGGCATCAGGGGTCTAAGTGACGCTGTGGTAACACAAAAAGCCCAGTTTACCCAGAAAAAGTAACCGAGCCCCTTCGCACAGAGCACAAATTGGAGCATGTTAGGCATCGCCATAAGAGTGGCATTGAATGACCGCCCATCAATATCTCCATTGAGCCAACGTCACAGTAACAAGTCTGCTTTGGCAGTGAGGAATGCTTATTATTGTACTACCGATATGTGAGGCAAATAAAAGAAGCAAAAGGTTTCAGTTGTATATTTGAAGGAATGTAACTTCCTAGATATCCTGATAGAGAAACACATCATTTTTATAGAAACAGGTTTTACCGAGTTACTCACAGAAATACCTTTGAACAACTGCTTTCCTCAATTCTTTCTTTCCTCCTTTCAATCCCGAACAATTATTAACACAGACAAAAGGTAGATTAGGCAGGGTTGAATGTGCGCTTGGGAGCACAACATATAACCACCACCTTCTGCCACCTGTAGTGTTATTTTAAGGTAATGAAAAAGTATGTGACAATAATATAAGCCACCAGCCAGAACACTTGGCTTATTAAACTTTCAAAATAATTAAATAAGTAGCCCTACTGAGAGAGACAGAGAAGAAGAGAAGAACAGCTGTCCTATTGACGAAGACCCCGTGGGACAGTGCTTTGACAAACTGGCTTCATTTCATTCTCTCTTGGAGAAAAGAAAAATGAAAAGGAGAAGCTAAGAAAGATGGGAAGAGGCGATGAAGAAGAGGAGAAAGAGGAGAGGAAGAGAAAGAGGAGAAAAAAGTAAAAGAAAAAATCCAATGATTGCAGCAAACAGATTATTTCATTCCTTTCCATGCCAAAATAATCCTCTTCACACAATTCCCCCCTCTCTAAGCCTCACACTCTGCCCTGTAAAGGTATAGCATGAGTTATCTGTGACAAACCCTGTAAGCCGTAGTTATCCACTAAGCAGCAGCTATTACTATCATTGGCACTGTTAATTAGGCGACTTACTCCTTTGCGACTCTCAACCTGAAAGCTCCTGATCAATTCTCCAGCCATCCCCCAAACTCTAAGAACACCCAGAAAAGCAAAATAACCCAGTACAAATGGACACTGGCACTATGTCCCTCCTTTCTTCCACCAGATTCAAATCACTACGCTTGCAATGGAAAGTCTGAACATGGATTTTTTGTTTTACCCCCAGATCCTAAAGAGTAAGAAAGATGATATAGCTTAGAAATGAGAAAGAGAAGGCACTAAATGTGTAATGATTGGAGCCAATTGGCTAAGCCATTCTCTGTTCTGAAACGGTTTGATAGGTATAGCTAAGTTTCCAGTTTACTAAGACATGACATCCACAGGCAGAAACTAGAATCCATTTGTGTTTGGAGTTGTGGCCTCCCAACCCCAAGTTCAAGTTAGTGTGCGCATCTTACACATATGTGGCTGTGCACACGCGTGCAGACACTCATACCCCTGAATTAACAACTTCTCAGGTGTCCTGCGGCTCCAGTCAAGAAACAGACCTGCTTTAATTCCAGCACCTGAAAGTCTTCACTCTTCCCCAGCTGGTGAAGCGACATTGCAACTATCGGGTAAATCTGACTTTACAAAATTGCCAGAATACCTCATCTCTACAACACAAAATGCCAGCTAACTCCACCCAGGTTTGTGAAAGAACAACGTCAAGACTGTGTGTCAAAATAGATTTAATTTCAAATAATAAAATGGCAGCTCCTTCTTAAACATACTTTATACATTTCAACTTTAACCAAAAATTAAAAAAAAAAATTTTAAATGAAAAAGAAAATGAACTTTGGCATGAGTATACTTGGTTTCTTTAAATGAACAAAAATACGTTTCTGTGAATTTTTTTTAAAAAAGTCTGCTCTTCATCTCCTTTTCTGTAAGCATTTTTTCTCAATAGGGTTGTTTGAAATGATCTCATTTATAGAAAGCCAAATATCTTATGATGATCAAACTTGACAAATTAGCGCACAAGAAAATGCAGACTCTTAGAAGGGCAACTTCAAAACGACTTTCTCCTCCTGGTGGCTGTTTGCCCGTGAACATGCTTTCCAAGCCAGAAAGAGGCTCCAAGCTCCACTGACCACAGGAAATTCCAGCCAAGATTCTAATCTCCCCTGCAGAAGGCGGTACAAAGGCCATGTATGGGAACAACAAAACAGAGTATGTGATTGAATCTAGTGTGTCCTACAAATGAGGAAACACTGGTATCTCCCCAGAATCACATTCAGCATGGAGGCGCTCTCAATATAAAAAGTCAGACAAGCTTTTTACTTTCTTGTCAAGGCTTCCTGACATCCAACACTTTCATAAGGTCAAGAAATGTGTCCCCAGCTTCTGTTTTCTGTTCTCCTTCAGGGAACACGGTGAAGAAGGGGCCGCCCAGCTGCCTTTTAGCACTTCACACTTGGATGGCTCCCTTCCTTACTGGGGTAGCATGTCTGCTGTGTGTGGACTCACAGAAGAAAAAGCAAAATCAATTTAGCACAAAAGAAATTCACATATTTTTGCCTCTTTATTATTCTGGAGAGTGCATATGGTTTGGTTAAGTGAAAAAGAAAAGTTTTATATAATGAAGATTACTGAGGCATAACTCACATAGGTAAAAAAACTGAGATGTAAAATGGTACAAAATCTAAAAGCTAATTAAATTCAACAAGGGCTTTTCAAAAGACAACATGCCCACTAATCTTCCTGTGCTAATATTTTGTTTTTCAAGGGGGCAATAAGTGGAAAGTCGTCATGGTGGTAGATTCTACAACGTGATTCTTTAGCAAAAAACCTGAGAAGGGGGAAAAAAAGATTAGATGCATGGATTTCTGTGCTGAATGGATGCTGGGGCCAAGATGCAAAGAATAGATAAGTTAGAGCTTTAGAGGAACTAAATTTGAAGCCAGCCAGTAAAACAGATTGAACCTTATTACCTCTAGTCACTGAGAAATTCCCGAGACAGTTGGATGCAATTTGAAAAGGTCAGAAAAATATTTTCTGCACAGCATTACTGCTTCATGGTTTAAGGGTGTACATTTGTGAGATGCCAACTCTAATCATTTTTATTGACTTTGCTTTCCAGAGACAGACAGACATTCTGGGAGGCAAGACCACTAGATAAGAGAAAGGCAATCTTATAAATGAAAATCTCTCTTATTTTGTTCTCTCACTTGTGACTATGGAGAATTCCAAATCTTGCCCATTTGAGGAGAAATTATACCAACTTCACTGAAGACTGACAGAATGGAAATCTAGGAAAGCAACACTATAATTC